GTAGGGAAAAAAACAGGCAAAACAAGTAGAAGGTTAAGTTTCTAGACTCTCTTATCAATGCTATGTCAGCAAGAGGAAAAGTTTAGGAGAGTCTTATTCAGTCCTACATACCTGTCAAAGCAAAATCCTGCCCCTTTCTGGTTTCCAAACTATAATTTCAATATATATGTAGAAAAGAAGAACCCATAGTTTAGAGTTGTAAGTTGAATGTCTAAAAAAAACCCCTATGAAACAAATGTATACACACTGACAATACAGCTATAAAGCCAGCACTGACTTAAGCAACGAGTATATTTCAACTAAGGTAGCAGCTTAAAAAATACAAAACTCAGTAATGGCCTTAAAATGAAGTTACTTGCAGAACAAAATGTTTCTCTGAAAACCTTCTCTTCTGAAACAGAGCTTAACTGGAAAACAAGCTGTTCTTACCTCCTGTTTGTGTGTTATAGTAATAGGTATGACCATCTTCAGTGACACCTTCTACCCACTCTGCTGCCTACGAAAAACATAGAGGGGCTACTTTAAAAAGTTTTAAGGATCAGCCAAAATATCACTTGTAAGACTATTCAACTCTTGAGTATTTTTTTGTTTGTGCTAATTTTACTGTTTTAAAAGCTTGAACCCCTGAAGTTGCTAGAAAGTATTCCTTTTGACTCAAATGGGACTGAATTGCTTAACTTAAAATACTGCAAATGCACATACACAATTTTTTTCAAACAGTGGATGATCAGTATGAAGCAGTACAGTAAATGTTGCCATAGAGTTCAAATTATTATATAGACCATTATTTTATATGTTTTTTATTTTCCAGAGTATTCACCCCTGAGGTTCTAATTTCCTGTTTGTGTCACCATCTTTAGTAGAGATTGATAAAAAATTTCTCTGAAAGACTCAGGGTTTTGTGAGGGCTACAGAAAACCAGTATCACAAATTAAACACAAACAAATGAAAAAAGCCTTCTAAAATTTATCCTGAAATAGATCTTCACCAAAAATAACTGAAGAATCAAACTTTGCAGGAAGGCATGCCAATGAATTTACTTCTTTAGTAAAGCACCCATTTCAACAAAGCACTGTTTTTCCCTACTGATTAATAAATACATATGAAATGTGGCAGAAGTTGCTGGTATGTCTTTGTGGATGTGTAATTAAAATGAAGATGTTTTGCAGAATTAGCCACAGCTAGATACTCAGTCATTACACATGACTTAACATCTTCCTTAAGTACCTGATTTTCATCAACACTTACACATAAAACTACTTCACTGCTCCTTAAGTACTGCCTGCTTCCCTGCATTAGACAGAATATCTATGCAGCTTCACCATACATTATCTTTCCATTAATAAATATCTATGTGTATGTGTATACAGGCACATATAGATAGGCTTCTGCACACACATGCCTATACATTTGCTTAATACTCTATTAAACTTTGTTGTTTCTTTAAAAAAAAAAACACAACACCACTAGAAGTTAAAGTTCTCGCACCCGCTCTGTAAACAGGAAAAATTGTACCAGTAGGCTCAGAGCAGGCAAAGGCAAGAAAGCCTTCAGTGAGCAAGCTTCCTCAAGGTTTTTGTTCTGAAAGTTTCAGTGTGCTAGTTTCAACAAAAGTAGCAAAAGGAAAATTAATTTTATGTAAGTAGAAAGATGACAAAAAACTAGTCTGAAGTACAACCCATTTTTTTTGTTAGAGTTAGATCCTGGGCATTTTAGACCTGGTTTTTAGAGGTTTTCAGCAGATATTTGACACTAAGTACACTGAGTATCCTACTACATGTCACTCTAACTGAAGTTATAGGTAGCCTTCAACACGTCTTTTCATTACTCTGTTCTCTCCACCTCTTACAAGGTCTGAGCAGCACGCTAACGTGCTGTAAACCAAGGAGGGCCACTTGCACTACATATTGCAAGCATGCCCTTTAATTTCTGGGCATTGAGTCCTTGTTAGAGATCTGGAATGTTCCCAATATCTTTAGCTCAGACTAAATAAGGGAGCAATCAAATGCTTGTTTTTAGCAATAGCGAAAATAACTCAAGACACCACAAACTCACCAAGCAGGGTGAGGGAGGAATGGCAAAATACAGCCATGTGGCATTAGAAAGATATCTGAGGCTGCAGGTGTATGTTTATGATATAGCTGAGATGAACTAACTTAAAATTGTTGCCAAGAAGGGAGCTCCCTCTGCCCTCCTTCTGCTCTCCCTTGCGCTGGCATTTCTCCAATTACCCAGACAGCTGATGGCAAGGAAATAAGCCTACAAAGCACTAGCCGAAACTCTGATGTCTTCGCTCCCTGAACTAGTTCACTGTCAGGGCCAATTCCCACCAAGGACCATATAAGATTAGTCACAGGACCACCTCTTTTAGTGGAAGGCTACACTAAGGCTGGCTTATAAATACTGCAAAGCTACACCTTTCCTGAAAAGATAAAGTTGAAGTGCTGGTTAACAAGGTGTGCAAAATCGCAGGATAAAGAGATCAGAAGGCCAGAGTAGCACGTGATGGGCAGCTCTGACACAAAGTGTGCAGTCTCTCGGGAATGAACACTGGCTGGAAAAAGCCTGCATTTTTGAGATAAAACACTGCCTTAACAAGAGATGGAATACAGACAAGACTTCATGTACACTTTGTGAATTGACTGTATTGCCTAAAAATATACACAATTATAACCATTTTTTCCTCTGACTGTAAGTAAACCAGTACCAAGCATAGGCTACCTCGTGAGATGGGACAACAGAGACCTACAGAACATCAAGCACTCTGAAAAAGGCAGGCTTTTTTGATCTCCAACACAAAATCCAACATTAGCAAACAAAACTGACTTTAAATTAGACTGTACATGAGACACCTATCTTGAAAATTGGGAAACGTAACATCACTTCACAGGAGTGTTGTAAAAATCTTATTTTTAATGTTGTGAAGCACAAAAATCCTGGAGTGATAAGTATCAGGGGAAATCCCATTAATAATAAGAAGAAATCTTCCTGTCCTTTAACTATTCTGCAAGTTTTCCTGTGCCTGAAATAACGAAAATAAAGTAATATGCTAAAAGGTTGCTTGCACATACGTTACAAGACCATAAGAAACATAGGAAAAAGACAAATTATCACATAACTGTATCCTAAAGCAAACACAAAAAATAGGCACTTTTTTTTAAAACTATCTGACAATGCAATCTCAATGTTTCCTAAGATAAAGGAGTATTAACTATTTCAAATGTGTAAGATTTAATTTTTTAAATTACATTTCATTCACAAAGTACTGAACAGAATTTATTCAGAATTTCCCAAAAGCTTTCAATTTTAAGGGCTGAAGCATCAAAAAAGCATATTCTGTAAAAACACAACTGCCACTATCACTTCTCTTCCCTTGATAAACAAAGTAGCCAAAAAAGATTTGTATAGTAAAAATTCAGTTTTCATCAAGTATATCTTAAAACATTCTATATATTCAAATTATGTTTTCCTAAGTTTACTAAGAGCAAACAATTTATCTTCTGCAATCAGAAAACTTGCAAATCGCTTAGCTTATTTGTTGTAAGTGTTTACAAGGACAAAAGAAAGTATGAATAACAGTATTTGATTACCGTTTGTGAGTTTTGAGAGTTGCCTTTGAATCCTTTAGGTTTCTCCCACTGTGATTCTTAAAAAACAAAACCATTACTTCACCCATCATTCAATCCTGTTTAATAATATTTACAAAAAAACAGATCTAAAGGGTAAGACTGATGTGTGCACACATACAAACAAGTAATATAGATACACCTCACTGGAATATAAACCATCCTTGATCAAACTACAGTATGAACAATAAACCAAAGTATCATAATTACAGTTGGCTTTACCAGGACGAATCACCTTCCAGACTCCATTAAACTATGGCTGATACAGAGATACTGGAATTTTGGTACCAAAAAAGTGTGGTTTTTTTTTTAAATGGTAGCATAGGCCAGAAGAAACCAAACACCCAAGATTTTCACCTTTTGAAAGTTATCTTGTATGAGGAAAGACTAAGCTAAATACTAATGTCAATCCTTTAATTTATAAGAAACAGTTTGTAATATTCTCATTCATCGTAAAAAAGGTTGCTTTTCTGTTCTAAAGTAGATAATGACACATTGCTCCTCAACAGAAGTCAGTCAGTTAAATAAATCCTGTAAAAGTGGAAAGAAACATTCAGACAGCAATCCACAACCGCTCTAATTTACTTGGGCACAATCAATTTCTTTCACTTTCTTGATAAGAAAGCTTCTTTAGGAAGACCACAGTTATCTTTTGCATACTTGACCTCTGAAAGGCTAAACATTTCCAGAAACTGTGGAATTACTGCATTCTCCCATTATTAACAAACAGCAAAACCAGTCTGAAGTTCTGGATGCCTAAGTCTCGAACGCTAAATATCAAAACTCCACCTAATTGTTTACATTTTAATAATCAGCTTACTACTGAGCGAGCAGAAGAGTAAAAAAATGCAGGTAGTCTTTCCTCATTTATATCCAATAACTGTATCTGCATTTGCTCCTTATTAGTTTTTACCTCCTGTTCTTGTGTTGTAGTAATATGTATAGCCTTCGGGAGAAAATCCTTGCACCCACTCCTTCGTTTCAGTTTTTGGTGGCATTGAGGTGTCCTGAGGTGTCTTTTTTTTCTTTTCTTTCTTTTCCTTCTTTTCCTTCTTCTCTTTCTTCTCTTTCTTTCCTTTAGTTTCCACTGTGTTACTCTGTGTTTTACTCTGCGTCGAACTAGGACCTACATCATCTTAAAGAAAATAATAAAACCTTTAAAAAAAGAGAGTAATAATCTGAGCTCAAGTATTAGTCACTCTTGAGCAAGAGCAAATAGGAAATTTTGTTCTTATGAGTATTTTCACTCATTAGTATTACAGTCATAGCAGGTAAACTTAAAAGATGATATTCAAAGAATCTTGCGTCACAGCAATACTAGTGTTGTAAGAAAGTCCAAATATCAAAAGATGAGTAACATAAACAGAAAAACCGTAAGGACCAATGAGCTCTAACTAAATAACAAAAAAGAAACTAATAGTTACGAAAAAGACAGCTTCTACAGAAGCTTTGAACTACAAACTGTTTTTAAAGGACAATATGTCTTCACACGGACAGCACAAAGGTACTTGCTGAACTGGAAGCTGAGTAGGAGATTCTTATCTCGACTGTTTGACACCAGTGGGAACCCAACCTATCCTACTCAGTAGGAACTTTTGTCTCCTACTGGCAAAATGAAACATAAAATTAACTAAGGGAAGCTGCACTGCTGATTCAAAGCACCAACTACAGCCTATTTTTTGTTATCACATTGTTTAATTTTTCTACTCCATGGACCAGAGGACACCATAGCAAAAAAAAATTCTGTACCACAACTTCTACTACTGGCAATTTGCAGACTCCTTTTTTTAAATGAGCAAATACAGTCCTGGAGGCCATGTTCCTAAAACCTAATTTAAGAAAAAAACATTCCTATTCAATATTATTTGAATTCTGTCTTTAATCCTTTGGCAGCTATATGAACTACCTGGCTTAATTCCAAGCCTTTTCAAATCTTCTTGATATGCTTTCATTGCAGCCTCCTCCATTGCTGCAAATTCTTTTGACATGTCTTCTTCTTCTTTTGCTTTTTCCAAGCTTTTCTTTTTAATCTAAAACAAAACAAAAAACACAAGAGAATAAATTAAGTCTGATAATGAATGATTAAAAATAAGTATTCGTGCAAATAAGATATTTGAGTTACCTCACTAATTCTTTTTGCCACATTTTCTTTATGATTCTTTCCTCTTTCGTGAAACTCAATGCTCTTAAAAGCAAGAAAAAACAAGAAAAATAATAGGTATTATACAATTTTAATTTAGTTGATTTTAGTTCTTAGTTGAACAAGCCTAAATGTAACCTGTTCTGAAAACACTTACAGCAAACACTACAGCTATAAAATGGCTATAGGAATTCAGGAACACTGAGAAACACTCAACATAAAATGATGAAAAATCAGTAACACTCCAAAATGGTAACATAAAATTTCAGTCTTCATCTATAAGATTTAAAATTTTTCAAATAATACTGTTCAGCATACATATGAGAGACAAGTAACAGGGAATCTGGGCTCCCTCCCCATGCTATCCTTCCAAGTATTATCCCTTGATTTTTTTTTTACCCTCTCTGTTTTCATGCAAACTTTAAAAAACCATATGGCTTATTTAAGAGTTTCAAATATTAGCTATGGTCCTTAATTAGATTATGCTATGCTCCACAAACATCCCATGAACTAGGACTGCAGAGCCACAATTCTGAGAGAGGAAAAGGCAAGGTGGGAGAGGTGGGTAACTGAGGACAACAGAACAGTCTGCAAGCCAAAAAGCTGCCAGGAAGACTGAAGCCAGTAGGAACTGGGGGTTCAGAAGCTCTACAGGTACAACAGTGGAAGTTCTCAGGCAGTTCTCACAAAAAACATCCGAACTCATTTAGGTGTTCAAATGTTAGGTGCCTAAGCCTGACCTAGTAACCCTAGAATTTCCTTGCATAAACTGATGTGTAGAGGATGCACATTCAGGGGACAATTCACTTCATTTAAAGACAGAGTTTATAAGTTACCCAAATCCCCCCCTTTAACATGTATTTCTCTTACAACCTAAACCAATTAGCTCACGCTTGTCATTCTGAACTGCAGGTATCTAATTGTAAGCCAGATGAAGCTCAGCTCCAGGAGTACCCCTGGCATTGCGTCAGGACTGCAAAACTTGTTTCTAAGTGAGAAACCAATGGGTCCAGTAGTCTGCAAAAGGCATCTGCTAGTTAGAAGCACCTTTCTGTAACCCAGTAATATTTCTGTGGGCTATGTGAAATGAAAGAAACCTGCTTTAAATGCTTAAAACACTGGCTGTACCAGGCCTAACAAACAGCACGTATGCCAGGTTTTGCTTTCTACTTGCATACAAAGGCTAAGAACAGGCATGGACAAAGTTTCAAGACAGATCAAGCATTAAGTTACAGAACCTGAAGAAAAAGCAGGGTCAGATATTTCAGTTCTTATCTGTACTGCCAAGTAGAACAGCACACACCATCTTGTATGCAGGTATCTGGCTCTCACATAAAGTATTTTAAATAGCGCAAGTATTACAAAGGCATTTTTAAACAACAAATTTCATGCATCAATAGATTATTATGAAAAGTGATGCTAATAGCCTGTAATTAAAATTCCTAGTATTTCAAAATCATTGACATAGTATGATAGACCATCATACAGGTCTGTTGTCTGCTATCCAGCACTTGCAGTAATCGCAGAACTTTTTTGGCTGAGATTTCCAGTAATCGGCCCTGGGGAGAGAAGAGGAAAAAAAAAAAGATGTATAATCTGAAACAATAATCAAAGCCACAGGTTTTTATATACATACAGCTTCACAAAACTAAATTTAGTTTCTTTGGGTGTTTGAGTGCTAAGAGTTTGTTTTTCTTTCTTTTTTTTTTTTTTTTTTTAACAAAGTCTAGTGCACAAGCAAGAGTAGCTATATTGACTACTGTCTCCTACAAAGCACAGTTCAGTATTGGGATTGTGCCCATCTCACCCCCAAAGACTGCAAAATCTTTACAATGGAGGTGATGCTGTAAGAACCAGAAACAGAAGACAAAGCAAGCCAGACATAAACAAGCTGCTCTAGATACCTTACTTAAACACAGAACTGTCAGAAAAGTGCAACTTACATTGTTTTTCATAAAGATGCATATAATAAATGTTTCTAAGTGTAAAATTTCAGATTTAATGTCAAAGTCTACTTTGGATACTGTACAGAGTGAGCTTAGCAACACAAAGGTGCAGTTCTGGACAATGTGAGCTATTCCAGCGAATCCTCAAACAGATTCTGACCTGTGGGGTCACAGACACGGCAGTAAATTGTTTGGATGTTTCAGTGTAAAAATGTGAGCATTTCTGAACCATGCAATTTAGATAAGTTGCATATGTGTGAGGAAACTTGGGGAAAACTCAAAGCTCAAAAGTTAGTACATAAAAGTATTTAATGATAAAACAAGCAACCCCTACAATGGCTGTTTCTTCATCAAAACCCACTTTCTAATGCCAGAAGAGGCTTGTGCAGAAATAATTCCATTTCTCATTGGCTTGCAGCAACAGATGCAATGCTTAGGTTCAACAGAACATATTCTAGTAACGGACTTCTATGTTTTTAAGTTATAATGAAAAAGAATGAGGGGCAAAGAGAAAACAAAAACAATTTAAGATTACACTGAAAACATTAAAAAAGATCAGTCCAAAAAATGAATCTTTGCCTTCCATCTGAAGATTAATGTACAGAGTTCAAGGAAGATAGTTCCTGACATTTTTATTTAATAAAAACAAAACTTCTTCCATACACAATGATAGCACCCCCAAACTTATGATACCTGCAAGCAGATCTTTCATAACAGAAACAGCCCTTATTGACTCAATTCTTAAAATTTAAGTAGATATCAAAATATGCTCTCCCACCAGTGCTTAATGTAAAAATTCTAAGAGGCAATTTCTAAAAGGCTACGATTATTTAAAAGTGTAGGTACAAAGGACATGCTCTGCAAAAACATACCAACCTATAAGCAATACTGTGTTAGCAACACATAGCTTTTCAAGCCATTTTCTGGAAAGCTAGAAAGCAGCAGCTGGGCTTCCCTCAATTTAAACAGAAATCTGCGCTTCCCTAAATGGTGTCCTTTAAAACTGAGTGATTACTTACACATTTAATTGAAAGGCCTTTGAGATTTTTCTATCAAAACATACTAGGGCCAAAGCCTGGGAAATCAAACATTCCGTCTGGAAAACCACCTGAGTGGGAAGGAAAAACTGAAGAGCTCAGAAATACCTCGAGGCCCTTTTTCCTATTTGAGCTATAGCTCCTAAATTGTCTCTAAATCCTTCAACATCATCTAAGATAAATTTCCAGCTAAAAGCTGGGTTAACCTTCCTAAGGCAATGGGCCAATTCTGACAGAAAACACATAAATTGTAAAAGAGCCTCACTGCATGTTTTGGAGGTGCAAGAACACCTGCATGTTTCCAAGTTTCACCTAACGGAGCTGGCTCTTTAACAGAATCAAATGTAACTGCTAAAATTAAAACTGTACAGCTGCACCGACCAAAAGTCAAGACCCGAGAGTGTCACGAGCTGTATTTTCACAGCTATATTTTCCACCAATTTCTTTCCTAAATGCTACTGGACATCACATTTGTTGCAAGTCATTGTAGTTACACATAGAGTAATCGTGCTGGAGAACCTGAGGGCACACCTGGGGCTTAAGTAGAAGAGACCTTTTGACTTCATCTCCTATGGATTTTGATAGAGACTGGAGCTGGCTTTCTGTTGTTACATATAAAATAAATATAAATGATACTCTGTGCAGAAGACCTGATATCCTGGAAACCTTAAAGCCTGCATTTCATGATTAATGAAGTTGATTGTGTAAATTATGGCCCCAATCCTGCGACTTACGAGTATGAGGAGTGTTATACACTGAGTAATTCTCTTGAAGATTTTCCACTTGAGTTCATACCACTAAAAAAAGAGCCAGCTCAGCTAAAACATCCACTGAATAACATCTGCCATTGTAACAATGGTGGAGCTTGCAAAGCACCAACGGTGCTGCAATGAGAGCAAACCAAAGGAGTGTTTGGAAAGGAGCAGCAATTGAAGCGAGACCCCACATCGGTGAGATGCTACAAGTGCTTCACAGGCTTCGGTCACAAACCTGAAAGTTAATCCAGATCAATGACAATGTTTACATACGTGATTATTTTCTTAATCTGCCCAATACAGGCTTGATGCTGTTAAAGTGGTGCAGAGGTCTTTTATACTTGAATAATTGTGTACAAACCAAGGGAAACATAGATATTTTTAAAAGTCATTGCAGTCAAAATGGTACAGCTTTCAAGACTCCTTATCTTCTGCCTGCACTTACATTGGTAAAGTTAAGGATGATTCTTGTTTTCAGCTTTACAGGTGGACCAACCCACAAAGGACCAGAAAGCTGGCCAGCTAGCCATTACTACCACAACTACCTTTCTTCCTTTCACTAAAATGAAGAGACAATCCAGAGCGCGTCACGTCTGGCTTGTCCAGGTTTGCAGGGCTGAGGTTCAGCACCGCACACGTTTACTCAGGTGTGGCTCCCAAAGGGGAGCTTGGTGACACGGACCCAGAGAGGTTTCCAAGTTTTACTGCAAAGCTCTACCTCCAGGGAAGGGTTCTGACCAAGTCTGCTCAGAGCCCGATTTTCCAGAGTTGGCTGAGCATGTCAGCCTGGCAACTTGCTACTGGGCACACAGGGAACAGAGCAGCGCCGATACAGATGGGTACGGGGCAACTTCTGGACAAACTGCTGTAAACTTTCAGCCAGAGTTGGAAATCCTGTACTAACTTGCAAGAAATTTGTGTCCCCTGAAGAACAGTGATTTTCTTTCAACTTTTACTGGTCAAATCACTCAGGGGCAGAATGTGCAACAGTTCAGAGGGCTAAAGGGGAAGGAGGGAAAAAGGAGTGAACATCAAATTGTTTTCTTGAAACTTTAATGAAATGACAAACTCTTTGCTGCAAACAGTTGTAGAGTGCAAATAGCGTCAATGTTAAAACCATTTTCAGATTTCTGAAACTCATTTAAAACTTCAGAGGGAGAAGATGGGGAAGAACAAATAGCAACTCTGCACTAACAGTGCCTGTCACATTCGCCATTTCAAAAGATATGAAAATGCTGAAACTCAGAAAGAAAACTCCACAACTCAGGTATTTTTGCTTTGCATAATTCATTTCTTGAGCCGTGAGAATCACGCAGCCTACGCTGCAATGACCAGGTTATGCACTCCAGCACATGAACCATGCGTTTGGGAGCACACAAAGGGGACAGGTTCTGTCAACAACGTTCAGAAAGTAACCTGCAGAGTAACTCCAGCAGTACTGGGGTTCAGGGCCCCGATCTGTCAACCTGCGAGCTGCTTCTCCTCACAAATTACAGTATTATTAATGTTTTAACAGGTGGTGCAATCAGCCTTCCTTATATAGGGAAGCTTAAGAAACCCTGCTAAAGAAGCTATCTTCAGGTGAGACAGCTTTGTCAAACTTTGAGACTGGGCTGGAGGTTTTTGTTCCTACCACCTATTGGCTGAAATTAAAAGGGGGGGAAGGGAAAAAAAAAAAAGAAACAACTGTTTCTGTTTCGGGTGGTTCTGAACACAAGAAAAAAAAATTTTGGCTACACAAACAAAATCTGGAAGCATTTGCTTTGAATAGCTCTGTTCTAAAACATCAGATTTGAAATTTGGCAGGGATGCAGGGGGGTTTGTATCAGGCATGTATCTGTCCAAATTATAAGCCTTTAGGGGGTAAAAACATCATACACATGCTCAGCAGTCCTTTTTAGTTTTAACATCTACAATCTCTGAAGACTTTACACAAAGTATCTTACAGCTTTCTGCAAGTCTGAGCACTGAACAGCTTGTGTGTGCATCACCTTCTTGAATACAGGTGTGTGAAGTAAGTAATAGACATTCAAGTTCTTGACTACACAAGGAAATAAATTCAGGGTAGCTATTGTGGCTGCTCTACACCAGCCACTCAACAGGACATAGTATTCAGAAACAGTAATAAATTATTTTCGGAATACTGTGTACTTCTAAAGAGAAGTAATAGTTCTGTAATAGAAAAAAGTAGAAAGAACAAAAAAGAAAAAAATCACATATATTTCACAATAGACCTTTTCCACATGGGAAGGCATTCCAGAAGCGCTAATTCTAATTCAAATATCCCAGTATTGGTAAGACCTAAGAATGCAATACTAAAATCAGCAGGGAAGGTGGTTAAAAAGGAAACGGTTTTCTTGTACTGTGAAGTAGGTCCCACTGCCATGGCCCCAATGACCCACACTCCCAAATAATTCACAGCCACTCCATTCAGTGCACTAATCCTACTCTAAAACCTCTTCTTAGATATATATCCTTAATTTTTACTTTTTTAAAAATGGTATTTAAAAATAAGGATTCAAGAAAACAGTATCCCTGATACACCGAGTACATGGGGCTGTCCCTCATCCTGACCTTAGCTTGTTGGCTTTCTAATCTATCACAGAATATATGTCTATATGTGGGCTCCTACAGAGTAGTACTGGATGGGAGTTTCATCTACATGAAACAGGGCAGTTCTCTGAAGGGTTTGGTTCTTCTGGCCTTCAAGTCAATTATATTTTTGACAATCCTTCTGTAAACTCTAATTTACTACCTTCAGTGGCTGCTTCTTTTTATTACTCTGAAGAACATTTAAATCATAATATCCCACAGGACAATC